GATTTTTTTTTTTTTTTTTGTAACTCAGTTTTATTTAGCAATCAGAAATACATAACGATTCCTATGAGCTAAAATGACAATATTTATGAGTGATGCCTAAGAAGTACTCCAATGAGAACTTCTCAGTTTTACAATTAATATGATATATTAGACCTAATCAAAGACTAAGTCTAAGGGCTATTGTCGTTTCAACCTCCTAATGCCAAAAGGTTGAAATATAGATAGAAATGAATGATAAGTATCACTGTTCAAAATATTCTGACAAATAACATTTTTTTGTTAGTTTGTTGTCAATATGTTAGTTTTCTCTTTCTTAATTAGTAGTAAAATTAATTAATAGTGATTAATAGTGGTTCTGTAATATAGAACATAAGTTGATGATCAGAAATAGGTACGTCAAATTGTTGATGATAAGTAAAAATTATGAATAAAAACTCGTAAAACTAATAAAAACTAAGTATAATTAGAATTTTGCAAGTTGCCGACGCTTTTCTATATATGTAAATAATCGAGACAATGATCAAGAATTGAAATTTACCAACTTCTGAAATTGTGAGGATATAATTTTGACACAGCCTAACAGCCTAAGGTTATTACAATCATTATTACAAAGTTATTACATCAAAACCGCCAAAAACAAAAATTCAAGAAATAATTAATGAGAAACAACCCATAGTGCCAGATATCCCAACTGATATCATTTAAACTATTTTTAATTTTCAAAATCTAGTCAGATCGTCGGGCAAAACTAATCAACGCATGTTCTTTTAGAGTTTTAGTAATTGGGAAATTTAAAATTTTTTAAATCAAATTTTGGTTCACACATACATACATTTTCCCATTTTAGTTGAAAAATATTCAGAATAAAATGAAACTTGAAAGCATCATATTATCAAATTTAAGTTTCTGGTGAAAACAAATTTATCCTCCGGAATGTTAGTAATAACGTTACCTAGGACGAATATAATTATTATGTGAAAATGTTACGATTACTTTTACAATTGGAAATTAAACGTTGTGTCGATCAAAAATAATCACTCCATTTTTTAGCATAATAAATCCTATTAAAATTAAATTAATTATGATCCCAATGAAAATTTTAGATTATAAATATTGTCAATTCTCAGGCACGTTCCATATATCATCTATCACGGTTTATGAAAGCTAACATTATCTCAGTCCACAAGATATTATATCAAATATATATATCCAAAGTAATTTTAAAATAATAATTACCGTTTACTTAAGCCACCAGATTGCTGATTGCTTTTCGCGCGATCTCTAACACAAACTGACGGTTTCAATATGTACAAGCATATTTTAATTAAAAAATCGATTTTTTAAATAAAAGTCATTCGTCATAATCAGATAGGAGACGCTTGCTTTACTTCAATTTATCGAAACGCTTTTAGCAAGTAAATAAGATTTCTCGCACATTTCTACTTTTTTGTAAAATGACACACCATTAATTAAATCGCCACATTTTTCCATTACCGTTTACGTTTGAATTTGCTACGATCAGCTCTTTGAGAGTAAATGAAATAAGCATTTTATATAATATATATGTGTGTGAATACTTGAAATTAAATTATTTTGTTTTCTGAATAATTAACATTTTTAATAGACAATTGAGAGGCATTTCTCTTTGTATTGATGGCATACCAAATACATATAAATATACAATTTTGATTTTAATTTAATTTTTAATTTTCTTTACTATGTTCAGTTTTATAATTCATATAGGGAAGTTAAGGCCTTATTGTAACAGTGGTAAATAGAGTAAGTTTTTTAATAGGATCTTAAACAATATTACAATATTAAACTTCCCATAGGGTAAATTATAGTAATCGCAAAAAAATCGAAAATGAAATTTTTATTTATCTTTACGTTTGAGAGGTTTCTGAACATTTTGGCATACCATAAAAAAATTTATGTTTGAAATCAGGAACACGGATCAACCGATTTGAATAATTCAAAAAGCATTCGATTCCTTTTAATAAGGAGACGTACTGATTAGTTTTTGGACAAGGCAAGTCCAGCCGTTTCGAAGATACGGGGCAAAAAGTGCCAAAAATGGTAATTCAGTTTTTCATTTTTTTGTGTTGATAAAATGAAGAAATGATTGAATTTTTGGTAAAGCAGGTCTCGCAGTTTCGGAAATTAAGAAAAATAAAAAATGCCATTTGGCGGTCAAAAATGAGTATTAGACATATGCACATGAAATTATCAGATATTTTATAGAAATTTTAATAATAAGTATAAATTTTGTTTGGGCTCCGTAACATTGTTTATCCGTTATACCGTGACGAGGCGCTGATGCGCTTCGATATTTCGTCTCCACGCAGCGCGATTGATTTGAAAAAAAGTTAAAAAATTTTGAAATATTTCAAAATATAAAAGAATCTTTTTTTTAAAAAAAAGTCTTTTTTAAAAAAAAACAAAATTCTCAAAATTCAATTTTTGGTAAAGTTCACAAAATGTTGAATATTTTTGGAAAAAATCAATTTTTGGTGTAGGAATTTCCAACAATTTGCCTTAAAGCATGATGCCATACACTACTAGTTAGTCACTTTTATTTGGCTTCTTTTACATATTGAATATTAAATAAAGAAAATCTTATATATATATATAATGCATATATATATATATGCATATATATATATATATATGCATTTTTATATATTATAATATTAGCATTGCAATAAACAAGCATTTCAAATTTGCCACACACTATATCATTAGCAAAACTGAATACAATAATTACTAAAAATTTCATCTTGTAGTTTCTGATAATATTCAAAGCTATGAATTCTTCTTCTATCGTTATAATAAGACTTTTTTGAGACGTTTGAAAAAAATGCCAAAATCTTTCTTTCAAAACTAAATTAATTAAAATAATCGTTTATTTTCACTTTTTTCTGTGAAAATAATCTGTATCTAAATTTCTTTTTTCCTACTATGCTACAATTCTACCTTTCAGGTATGAAAATCTGATCGTAATGAAAATTCTAGAACATTTTAATGTTTTTTTTCACAACCTTCTCATGGATCATGGTACTTTTGTGATAATAATTATTTTATGTCCTTAATTTTTACTATAGGGTTAACATATAAAGTTACCGATTTTTAGTACCGAATTATTTAGTCGCAAACATCAGTAAAACATGAAAATCTATAGAAGCTTTCTGCTATCAGAAGGGAATTCGTGTATTTATGCTCGTTGTTATAAAAATTCATGTCATGTTCCATGGCTTTCAGTGGGCATATGGAGAGTTTAGACCGTAAAAGAACATAAATTTTTCAAATGACTCTCGGGAGCACACATGCAGAATTACAGGAAAAATATTTACCGATACGATCGGAATGAACGACAAAAGGTAGCCGTTTTATCTAAAAAAAAAGATATTAGACTATGATCATGTACATTTATATATAGATATCATTGATTTGTTATTGGCTTAGATTTGATTAATTTTATTATATATAGGGTCTTAAAATACCAGGCAAAGTGGACCAAAACCAACATGTCGCTTAAACCAGTGAAGTTAAGATTTTTTAATAACAATATTTGAAAGTACAGAAAAAAGATGTATAACCAGTCATCACTTTGATTCTTACGACATAGTAAACAGCAATAATTGAAAATCCATAAGTATTTTCTATCGTTGTTATTTTTTGGTTGTGAGCACTCTTATTTAGTTTACCAGACTTTCATATAATTTTTAAGTATACTTTACTTAATTGTTTTATAAGATTTATTGGTAATTTTAAGTTAGATTCAACAGTTTTTTTATATAACCTCTATAAAAGCTTACAAGTAAAAAGGATCCATGGCAGAGGTATGATAAATATTTCTGACAAAATACCTGTTCAAGGTGTTATCTCTGTAAAAAATGTACCTATGAAATTTATATTTTGCATTGGTTGAATAGTAGCTATTATTTCGTGAAATCCCTTTCAAACTAAAAATAATACATTAGACCTGATTAACACTCGGCTGGTCCCTTTTACCCCGCCTATGGGGTGAAAAGGACCAGGTAACAAATTCTTGAAAAACAGCAAATAAAACACGTTTCTACAATAATGAATTACCTAGGAGTAATACTGAACATAGTCAGATTGTTGTTTGTTTAATATATGTTATTTGTTGTGATATAATTAGTTTGATAGATGGACATCAAGTAAATATGTTAAAATACTTTGCATTTTAGATTTTATTTTTCTAAACTAAAAGCCTTCTTTCTAAAACAATTATTTTTTATTTAATTTTTTAATTATAAATGAAAATCCCTCTTTCAAACACTTGCTAATTAAAAAAAAAATTATTGAAATTGGATATTAACCAAAAATTTTAATGAAAAATACTTCAAGTCATCAAGCTATACTAGTTGTTACTGTTATAACTACACAGAAATACTAACAACAAGAGAATTTTCTAAATCATATTAAAATCGAATTAAAAAAAGAGGAAAAAATGAGGTATTTAGTTCAGAAATATAAAATTATGTATAGTGTAAAGCGGCGCGTAAAGATCCATGAATAAAAAGTCCACTGCTATTATCTCAAAACTAGTAAACTATGAAACTTTTTAACAAAATGATTTTAAAGTAGAGGGCAAAGATGTGCAATCAGCCATCGCCTTAAATCGGGAGACATCGAGTATCAGAATCATTTAAAAATGCACTTCTTTATTCACATACACAATATATGAATCACAGCCTATATAAAATAGTCTTGTGGTGCACTATAATTTATGGGCGCCATCTGGTTCCCACATCAGCCATTTGGTCCCCACACTCTTAATTTTATCATTCATAAAACTCTGTCAAATAGAAAAGTTAAAAATATACTATCGATATGCTTTTCTTTCTGAGACTAAAAAGTATATTTTATTAAACATGTATTTTTTTCTATTTCAGAATGCGACCACACGTTTGTGAGCCGTGCTGGCGGGCCGCTTAACGGCACGTTCACTGCGCCGGTTCTGTTCAATCCGAGCGGTCAATCGAGGCAATGTCTGTACGCGTTTCTGGCCGGACCTGGCCAGAGGGCCGAGGTGCTCTTCACTGCCTTCAACCTACGCGGGACGCCCCCAGAGTAAGTATCGCACTCATAATAATTATAATTGTCGAATAACCAAGCATTAAGATATATAAAAGAATTATGGATGGTATGAAACTTCTTTTTGATTATCCCGTACAATTTTTAGGATTTTATGCCTAATGGTACAAAGATTATCTTATTTGTTTGACACAACCGTTTTTGTCTAAACCGAAACTAATTCTCAAACTTTCTTGCGTGGACTCTCCTTGGGCTTTGTCTTGGATCATCTATTTAGCCGACAACGTTTTTCTTTCATAAATTTCTAACTGTTCTAAAGCATATTATTGAATATTCTAAATAAAAATACATGTTATTTGTACTAGTGGTGCATGGCATCGTGCCTTACGACAAATTGCTGGAACTTCCCGTACAACAATTAAATATTTGAAAGAAAATATCAGTAATAAATAAATATTGAACATTGATTAATAACAATTGTTTTAAACATTTTAAAATAGATAATTATAATCACTATATATTTTATCATTCATAAAATATACATTGACGATCTAACGATATTATCGCTCAAAACACTTGAGAAAGTTTAGATTAGCAAGAGGTGCGAATGAATCCATCTGAGGATATATTTCTTATGATTAGAATAACGCATTTGAAATATATATATATATATATATATATATATATATATATATTTTCAAACTGAATTGTAAATTGAAAATTCATATTTGAAGTAAAAAACAATAAAAAAATCGGAAAATTTTAAAATTAGCTTGAACCGTGCAAGTGAACTTTAAAAATTAACAAACTTGGTACGGAGCATAAAAAAATTGCAACAAATTTAGTACTCATTTTTAAAAATGTTATCGAATATCTGATAATTTGATGTGCATATGTCTGATGATCATTTTTGACCGCCAAATATCATTTATTTCTTACTTTTTTACTGTATCTTCAAAACCGCTAGACCTGCCTTACAAAAAATTTCACCAATTCGTCAATACAAGTAAAATTATCGTTTTTGACACTTTTTGCCCCATATTTTCAAAACGGCTGGACCTGTCTCCACTAAAAACCAAACAGCACGTCTTATCAATAGGAATCGAATGTTTTTGGAATCATTCAAATCGGTTAAATCGTGCGCCCGAAATCGTGGACGATAAATTGTATCCAAACATACACACACACTCACATGCATCAATTTTTTCTAAGGAATGGTAAAATGTTCAGAAACCTTCAAAATAAATATGCAAAAATTTTCATTTCGGAAGTTGAAAATACAAGTAAGCGAAATGTAAATATATAATTATCAACATTCGGCAACAATTCTGTAAGATTTGATTTTACATTTCACCGGCTAATGATGTCCACTCTACACCTTTTTTCTATTAGGAGATCAGAAATAAAGCAAAACCTTTTTTCTACTATCTATTTTACAACGATTACATCGATTTTTATCTGTAGTATACGGACAGTCTCAAAAAGCGCAAAGGACTTTGCCAATCCTTTCAATAGTCAGCAAATTGGGTTTTTACAAGCTCAACCATATTGCGACCACAAATCGAATTCCAACTTATGCTACAACTTACACATTTTTGTTAAAAATGAAACAATATTTTTAATTACTTTTCAGTTCTATTTATAAATATTGTATATGACTTTTTACCATCTATGGTATAATATAAATAAATGGATACCGTGGACTCCCATTTCATTATCTAAAACCCAGTTTTCTTTGGCTGACGTAGACACTGTATATTATCATGGATCCATAGGGGTCTACTTTGAAAATCACTGATCTAAACTAATAAGCCACTTTGAAAATACTAGTTTAAAATTCAGAGCTATATTTAAATATATCTGGATTTTTATATCTCAATATAAATTACAAAGTTTCTTGTAAAGACAGTGATTGAGTTGTTACAATACAATACAACGATTGTACAATGATTTTTATGAGCCTATCCAGTACTCCAGTAGTAGACCTTACAAGAGTGAACTTATAACATATTAATTGAAAGATAATATGAATATTTCATAACTAAATTACAAAATTATGCGAATTAAAACGAAAATAGTATAAACAAATTTGAATATCTTGGATTAATTCTATAAGCTTTGTCCTACAATTTCAGATCAGCAGATCTTATTTCAGATTACCAGATCATATATTTGGAAAATAACAAAGCACAATTAAATTAAAATTACAAACTTAATGCGCAAACCTTTCCACGATTTTATTACACAATTACTCATTTTATAACCTTTAATTAACTTTAATTAACTACGCTAACCTTAATAACCTTTAATTAGCTTTATTAAAAGGTTTTGTTGATCTATTACTTTGATATTTTTCCGTAATTGCTATTGCGCCTCTCTTTGTATTAACAAACGTTACAGCGGAAAATATTCAACTACAAATCAATTAATTAAAAAAAAAACTGAAAATTGGTAATATTGTAAAATGATGATAATATATTGAGTAATGATAAAATGAATAATATGATGTACCAACTCCGATTGATGTTCATTGGTTTTAATTAGTTTAAAATTTAAAAATTTCTGAAAATAGTAATCATCATAGAAATTAAAGTCTATTTGGTATAACTGTTTTGAATTAAATTGAAGTGATTATTTTTAAATGACGTAACGATACAATTTTACTAAAATGAAATTTTCTCACCTATTGATTGATGACATCAATAAGATATATAATCAATTATTTAGAAAACACTAAAAAATAAATGTAATAACTACGCCCATTAATACATTTCTTTACAATGTTGAAAGCAAAATATAGTAGATGAACCGGATTTTTACTTATTCCTATAGTAAAAATAAGTGACTAAGAAATATTTTTGTAATTTGTCTATTATGTATTTGTTCTAGCAACTTCTTTATATCATGATATTAGCTTAAAATATGTATTGAGGATTTAAAATGTATTTTTATATGACTTATTTGAAAACATATAAAAATAGATTAAATCACATCAAACTACCATATTTTAATTTATCAACCCCCAAAATATATTGAAGGCATTATTAAAACTTAATTGATATTTAATTATATCCTGATTAAAAAGTAGTATACTTTTATTTTATTTCTATTAGAGAAAGTAAGGACAAATTGTTTTATTTTAATGATATTTGTTCATTTAATAATATTAAAACCAGTCTTAATCGTTTATGCTCATCTTTGGTTCATTAACTACCAGAATTTTAATTAAGTAGGAACAATAACAACAAATTTATTTAAAAAATGCAACCTGTTTTAAAAACTATTTTGTCCATATTCTATGGACAAAATGACATATATATATAGTAAGGAGATACTGAGATACATGCAGAAAGCTGTTCATAGAAAAATCGTACAGGATACAAGTCTTATATCATAAACCAATCTTTTCAGGGCTCACAAAGAAAAAAGAAAGTTTTGCAACAAATGCAAGTCCCTTCTTTTAACAAGTAGATGTTTTAGTCTGTTTTTACCAATTATTTTTTGCATACTTGCAGCAAAATTATTTTTTCTTGACCCTATAATGATTGCGAAATAGTACTGTTCCATTTTGACCATTGTCCAAGTATATCATTTTGTCCAAAATTATACTAAAGTGAATAATTCATCAATATTCTCCTAAACACGCGATTATTGCGATAAAACTGATCGAAATCACTAGTACTAGTATAAATTAATTGATATTAATATTAATAAATATGTCCGCAAAAAACATGAGAAAAACTCCCTCAAAATAAACTTTTCAAGGTGCAAATGATTACTTGATGAATTTGAATTGAACTGATTACTGCGACAATATTGTGACAATGACGCTCAACATCTGACAGGATTGTTATTATGACTTTCTTCATATTAAACAGTCACACGTTAACAGAACAAGCCCATTTTAATATAGGGTCACTGTATCATTTTATCCATATATACCATTTTTTCCGTATTTCTCCTCCAATTTATCTCAATGATACAAGGTCTTTTAGTCAGAAAATAAAGCATAGTAAAAAGTAGTACAAAAAAGTCATCGTACACCTCTATACCAAAAACAAGATATCGATATCAAGTACTTATTGAGTTCTCATTGAGCAATCTCGATTCGCTTTTCAATACATTTTCCAATTTTCATTGTGTAATTCAAAAAGAAGTTTCATAAACATCGCTATTCTTAAGAATGTAGCACTATGACCATTAATTCCAAGAATTCAGACACGCCATCCACCGATCGCCTATAATGACAAGTAAACAATGGCCCACGCAAATAATGGCGGAAATGAAAATCTATATAGACAGGCTGTATATCGATTTTCAATTGGCGTCAATGTTTTGCATCAAATGACTCAGATTTAATAAAAATATATAAAATGATATCACTAAAAACGTATTAGATAAACATTGTATGATGAATATTTAACTTTTCGCAGGATAAGTTATAGTAATCGCAAAAGAAACGGAAATAAAAATTTATATGTATCTTCACGTTTCAGAAGTTTCTGAACATTTTGGCATACCTTACAATTAGAAAAAATTGATGCATGTGTAGGTATGTGTTCGAATACGTTTTTGTCGACGATTTCGCGAACGCGGATCAACCGATTTGAATGATTCAAAAAAAACATTTGATTTCTAAATTGATATAGTATAGTAAAGAGTAGTATAGTTAAAATATCTGATTCAGGTTTACTCTTCTGGGATTTTGATGAAACTTTGCATGATGATAAGAGTTGATAATCAAACCGAACACCTTTAAATATTATAGGCCTAGCAGAAGTGGTGTAATTGTAAAATCTTTGACAAAAATTATTCAAAATCAGTTACAGTCACACATAAATAGCCACAAATATTACTTTATGCAGTTGTCTTGCTTTTAGGTAAAGCAAGTGCTAGTTTGTTTTTAATAAAAAATTTGTTCACATTCCCCTATCTCACCTACTATAAACTACTAGAATAAAACTAGTGGGGCGAATGGCATCGTGCCTTAAGGCAAATTGCTGCAACTTCCCGTACCAATTTTTTTTTTTTTTTAAAGATTAACATTAAAAAAAAATACTCCAAAGAAATAGATTTTTGAGAAACTATAAATTTTTGACAAAACTTTACTTTTTTGAAAAAAAGACTTTTTGAAGATTTGAATGATTTTTGAATTATTCAAATCGGACGCTCCGTTCTCTTAAAAACTGAGTTACCGTTTTTGGCACTTTTTGCCCCATATCATCGAAACGGCTAGACCTGCCTTCGCCAAAAACTAATCAGCACGTCTCCTTATCAATACAAATCGATTGTTTTTTGAATTATTAAAATCGCTTCATCCGTGTTCCCGAAATCGTCGACGAAAATTTGTATCCAAACACACATACACACACACACACACATACATCAATTTTTCTAAGGTATGCCAAAATATTCAGAATCCTCTGAAACGTAAAGATATATAAAAATTTTCATTTTCGATTTTTTTGCGACTACTATAACTTACCCTACGAGAAGTTAAAAATAAAAACTTAAACTGATATTTTACATAAATCCTTAATTATTGTAGATATATGTATTAGAGGGAACATTATAATGGATATTTTAAAAATTTAGCTTTCAGAAGCTCAAATTCTTCCAAAATGGTCAAAAAAAAATCTCTGGAAGTTTTAGCTTTTAATATTAACTTTAAGATAGTCCGCAGTCCAACCAGAGTTTTTTTTATAAAAATAACATGGGTAAAATTTCATTTGTATTTTAAAATTTCATAACTTCGCAATGTATGATTCAAAATTTTGAGAATAACATTGTATTTGCTTATTTTGATTATAAATTTAAAAATTACAATAAAAATTTGGTATAATTTAGAAAATAAGTATTTACTTAGGAAGAAAACCAAGAAACTTTGGTTGAAGTGCAGACTATCTTAAAGTTAATATTAAGAGCTAAAACTTTCAAAGATTTTTTTTATCAATTTGGAAGCATTTGAATTCCTGGGAGCAAAGAAATTGAAAAATATCCATATCAAGGATCACCCGAATGTGTATATTATTGTATGTCTTTTATAATTATGTACCTATTTATCTAATTTGTCATTTTCTAATTTGAAATTTATATTTTTCATGCACAGTGGAGCCGCAGTCGGAGAATTACCTGCGTAAGTACAAAATTACAATTTCATAATAATATATTTAAGTTTAATCGAACCATAATATTTTGATAAAATTAAAATAACGCATAATTGAATTCTCATTGAGCAATTTAAATGGGCGATTACAATAACATCGGTTCAATCATACGGCAATTTCAAATTTTATTGATTCAATTATTCAATTTACAAACTGCATAGGAATTCAGTAACCTATGTAATATGTATAATCGATATGAATTTATACGCAAAATTGAAAAATATAATCAATTAATAATAACAGCGGCGATAAATTGAATTATTTTAAATGAATTGATGCTGATGAATAGCACTGGAATCTGTTTTTTTTGCATGCATCGAGATAAATATAATGATTGCATTCAACAAAAGGTGGATGATAACGTTTTTAAATAATTCGATAAAATAAATAGATTAATTGAAAAATCAGCGTCTCATTTATATTTCTACAATTTGGTATATTGTGGAAATATTATAATTTCAAATTATGTATCTGTTCTTATTTATATCTCAAAATAAGAAATGATGTGATTGAAGCATTTGTTAAATATAACTAAAACTTAAACAGATTATTTTTACTATGATTTTTCCTGGGGCCAGTGAACATTATATTGTGATTTTTGGTAATTTTTATATTTTATTCAGGCTTTATTACGAGTAATTTATGATGATATGCAGACATAAATTTATATATTGATTGACAAAAAATTAGTAGGTTATCAGTCAGTACGGTCAGTAATTGCCGGGTTTTGGTAACGCGTAAATAATTATACTAATAATAAATAGAAGCATACATACATATTTGTACTTGACTAAATTCGTATTAGGTACTCTAACCAAATAATATAAAAGTAAATATAATATTAATATATAATTAGGCAAGAGGTAAATAAACAAGCAAAGTTTTTAGGACTCATTTCTGATTTCTCTATTTACACTAATTTTTTCCTATAAATAAATTAATTTGAAAACACATTAAACGAAAGAATTAGTTCAATAAATAATAAATAATGATAAACGGAAGAAAACTAAATAGTAAATAATAATAAAGTTTGTTAATAATTATTAATAATAAATAAACAATAGTTACGATAATGTGTTTATGTGTGTGTGTAATATGTGATATATACAAGCGTAAAGTACCAAAGACTAAAATTTAAAAAAAAACTTAAAATTGTTTTCAAATTTTAAAAAATCAATTTTGTGAGAATTTTGACTTTTTTGAAATTTTTTTTTTTTTTTTTTTTTTGATTTTTTTGAAAATCTTGAACATCTGTCTAAAGCAAATGCGCTGCATAGCTGTTTTATAGTCGAAATATCGAGCGCTTAAGCGCCGCGTCATAGAATAACGTGGAAACATTGGGACAAAACCCACGTAAATGTACACAAAATTTGAATTGAGCCTCCGGTAACCCTAAACCAGCCTTCTCAAAAATTTCACCAGTTGTTCACTTTGTAAAATACAAGTAAAATGTTTTTTGAATCATTCAAATCGGACACTTTGTTCTCTCAAAACCTGGAATACCATTTTTGGCACTTTTTGCCCCGTATCTTCGAAACGGCTACACCAAAAACTAGCACGTTTTCTTATCAATAGGATCCTAATATTTTTTTAATCATTTAAATCGGTTGATCCGTATTCTCGAAATCGTCGATGAAAAATTATATCCGCAAATACATACACAAACACAAACACATACATCCATTTTATCTAAGGTATGCCAAAATGTTCAGAAACCTTCAAAACGTCAAGATATTTAAAAATTTTCATTTCGATTTTTTTGCGATTACAATATCTTACCTTACGGAAAGTTAATAATAGTATTCATTCATATACAGACTTATACGCCTTCTGAAGTTATAAATATATATGGATGCCCCAGAATTCAACGTCAAGCCGAAACGGGGTGATAATAAAAGAGCGACCATAACGGTCCTCAAAAAAATCATGAGCTTTAAGTGCAACCTAGAGCTTTGATCAAATTGTGACAATTTTTCGATTATTGTGGTTAATTTTTATTAATTTTGTTCATTTAAATATTGAATCCATAATGATACAATTGCCCCAAGTTTCCAAAAATTAAGACTTTGTGTTGAACTATGACTTTAAAATTTTTAGGATAGTTCGACTTCAAATTATTTTTTATATCAAAAAGCATTTTTGCTAATATTCAAATTCCGTAGCTTAAAACAAACTGTACTTCAAATAACATTATTCATTTATCATTTTATTTTCATAGATTTCATGAAATGTCTTTGATGATTTTCGCATTGAAAAATATTAAGACGCTCTCATTTTAAAGTCATCTATATTTTCATTATAATGAATTGAAAATAATTTCTCGATAACAAATACAAAACCATAATAAACAACTTCTATTGTCCAAAAGTAACAAAACTTTTAACGATCGCACTCGCAAAAGTTCGGAAGTACCGCAATCTACATTACGAACCGAACTTCTCGGAAAGCTCAATTCTCCGTTGATAATTATTTTGCATTGTGGCAGGGGACGAGCTTTTTTCAATAAACTTCTACGTAGAATAGTTAATAAAAAACGCCTACGTATTCTAGGAAAATATATTACCGAGAATTTTAAATATTTTGGCAAAGGGTTTTAGGTAAAGCATTTGACTTATTTTCAGAACTATTAAATTTCCTACCTTTAAATGAGATCCAGCAAACTCGCACGATTTCTAGGAAACATCAGTGCGTTATACAGAATCCAGAATGAAAATATTGTATTTATTTTACCTCAATTATTATACTTGAATATGAACCAATATGTTCATAAATTACACCTATAAATAAAAATATAATATTAATTTATATACTAATATTTTAATAAAGATTTATAAATCAAATATTACAATTTCAAATAATTATACCTAAAGGATTGTGTATTACATGTAACGATTCAAAGCAATGTCTTGAGCTTTATTCCAATTATATTAAAGTATATATTCGCAATATTACAAATAAATTTTGAAATAACTAAAAAAATATAGAATTTACTGGCTTTTTAAGATTATAATTGCAATTGTTTCTATTTTAAATATACCGAACATTTTAACGTTTTACAACTAGTTATTTAACTTCCCGTAGGATAATTTATAGTAGATAATCGCAAAAAAATCGAAAATGAAAATTTTTATATATCTTTCCGTTTCAAAGGTTTCTGAACATTTTGGCATGCCTTAGAAAAAATGGATGTATGTGTGTCGACCGACTTGACTGATTCAAAAAACATTTCATTTGTACTGACGAAATGAAGAACTGATGAAATTGTTGAAAGGCAGGTCTAGCGGTTTCGGAAATCCAATAAAAAAAGTAAAAAGAAGAAATGCCATTTGGTGGACAAAAAAGATCATTAGACATATGCACATCAAATTATTACATATTTTATAGATATTTTAAGAATAAAAACAAATTTTGTTTGCATTTCAATAGATTCCGCACCAATGTTTATCCGTTATACTGCAACGCGGCGCTCCCGCGATTCGATATTTCATTTCTACGCAGCTAACGTATCGCGATTGCGATTTTATTGTTAAAATCTCTATAAAATATCTGATAATTTGATGTGCATATGTCTAATGATCATTTTTGGCCGCCAAATGGCATTTTTTTTTACTTTTTTGTTAGATCTCCGAAAGCGCTAGACCTGCCTTCATGCAAATTTAATCAATTCTTCATCTTGTCAATACAAGTAAAATTTTTTGCGAATTATTCAAATCGGACGCTCCGTTCTCTTAAAGACTGAGTTACCGTTTTCGGCATTTTTTGCCGCGTATCTTCGGAACGGCTAGACCTGCCTTCGCCAAAAACTAATCAGCACGTCTCCTTATCAATACGAATCGAATGTTTTTTGAATTATTCAAATCGGTTGATCCGTGTTCCCAAAATCGTCGACGAAAATTTGTATCCGCACACACATACATACACGCACACACACATACATCAATTTTTTCTAAGGTATGCCAAAATATTCAGAAACCTCTGGAACGTAAAGATATATAAAAATTTTCATTTTCGATTTTTTGCGATTACTATAACTTGCCCTACGCCAAGTTAAAAAAAATTAAAATATTTCAAAGTATAAAAAAGTTAAAATTTTTCAAAAAGGTAATTCGTTTTCAAAAATTTTAAAAATTTCAAAAATACATTTTTTTCAAAGTTCTATAAAAGGAATTGAATGTTTGTTAAAAACTTTAATTTTTGGTACGGGAAATTCCAGCAATTTGCCTTAAGGCACGATGTTATGCATCACTTGATTGCATATTTTTTCATAAAGTATTGTTTTAATATAACATTTACAGTTCTGATGATTTATTAGTATTAGTACTATCATTTATATTTTTTTTACTCAAATCTTTCATTATAATAAACACATATAAAAATAATAATAAACATTTACAGACAAATTTCAAGATCGTACATATCTTCGACATATATTCATTCATCTTCATAATAATATCATTTAAACAATTTCTAAGAAGCATCTATAACAAGGCTAATGCGGTGTAATAATACCCGATCTTCCCTATACTCTATAGAAAATACCCGTGCAAATAATTATTCCTAGAATTCTATCTGTGTGCATTTGCTCAGCCAATTTGTTGAAGTATTATACACTTGTTTAGATTTTCTGGTGAAAATCGTGGAATATTCTAGGAAAGCACATCATCCAATTTCGTAGAACATAAAATTCGATTCACTGCCTACTATAAATTTATCATAAAATCTTTATGTATCAGATAAGTTTTTGCGAGAAACATTTTATGAATAATATCTAAGCTTTTTAGAAAGATACGTTATTCAATTTATGAATGAGATGTTTAATGCTTCTTAGTTTTGCATTTTATTTTTCTTCAATGAAATTGATAGACTTTGAACTAGAATGCAATATCGATAAAAAAAATGATACTGGTATTTCGGTATTTTCGCTTTTAAACCCGGTAATATCGGTGAAATACTGGTATTAATATTAATT